TGCCCCACCGTCACACCAAGTGCATCCAACTGGCTTCCAGCAGGGACATGGCCAGGAAAGGGTCTCGGGATCGGCAGCAACCCCACAGGCAATTCGCCACTCAGCACACATGTGCTGCAGCCATGTACCAACAGCACAGCGGCCTGAAGCACCGTGACTCTATGACAGCATTATTTGCAGGCCCCCGAGTGAAAGCTGCTCAGAGGAGCTGTGGGCACAGCAGGATGACTGTGCCCTCAGGGTGGGCCAGCCCAGGGCATCTCCCAAAACCCATCAGAGCTCAAACACCCCCAAAGCCCTTGGTCCCTGATCTGGGATGGACATGGATGCTGCAAAGTGCCATATGGGAGGGCACAAGGGATGGGGCTCACCAGGCACCGTGCAGGGACCATGCAGGGGCCATGCAGGGACCATCAGGGACCACGGCGGGGGCATGAATATTATATGAATATTATGCAACGTGCCACCCAGATCTGTCAGGCGCCCGTTGCAGCGGGCCGAGGGCTGGAGGAGGAGGGGAAGGGGGTGGCGAGGTGGGAAACCGAAGCGCCGGTGACATCTTTTTCACGCTGCTGCAGCTATGACTCACCGAGGAGGGGGGAAGGATGAGAGCAGGAGATAAAGAAAGCAACCCTTGACTGGTGGGGTGGGGAGATGAAAGGGAAGCGCTGGCTTTTCTAGGGCATGGCGCTCGGTGGGGTGGAGGGGATGGGGTGAGACTGTGCTGCCAGCCCCAGCCCTGCTGCAACGGGGACATAGTGGGACAGCAGCAGCATCCCACAGCCAGGGACACGGCCACCAGCTGGACTGTCCCCATGTCCCTGCTTGCCTCAGCCACCCATATGGGGAGGAAGAGGCAAGAGGGAGAGTGCAATATCCCATACGGGCAGCTGAGAGCAGCCGGAGCCAAGGCACACCATAAGGTGTATAAGGAAAACCCCTCTGTCTTCTGGTGTCTGCTCTCCGAGCTGAGCATTGCCTGCTCCCATCCCCTCGCCCCAGCACTCACCACCACGCCAGACACTCACCACTGCTGCACCTCCTTCTCCGTAACTGCAAGAGAAAACAGAGGAAAAGAGAAAAAAGAAAGGAATTTAGTGCTTTCCCAGTGACAGCTGCTCGTCTGCACATCACATAAGTGGATTCCCTGCGAGGGATGCCCCAGGGCTCACTCCATGCACTGCCATGTGTTCCCTGCACGGAAGCACTGCCACCAAGGCACAGCCTGGGCCAACCCGGGTGGATGATAGGGTCCCTCCAGCCCCCAAATCACAGCACAAAGATGCGTTGCTTCCTGCCCCATTGCTGCAAGATGCTGTAGACCACACAGGGGCCAAGCCAAAACATCCCTGGAAACATCTGCCCAAATACCAGCCTGGAGGCAGCACCCACCCAGCCCCAACACCAAGCCACTGAAGGTGGCACAGGCACAGTACCCAGAGCCAGCATCCCCCCAGGTACCACCTGCATATGAACCACATGGAGAAACATCATCAAACCCATCCCAGGGCCATGGGAAGCTTTTCTGGGCTCTGGAGAAACCCCCAAAATGTGACAAGCTAGAAAATGGTGAGTGCTGGCAGCCCTGAGTGTCCCCCGCATGGAGACAGATGCTGAGATCACCGATGTCCTCAGCAGAGAAAAGGCTCTGATGGGATGCAGGATGCCAGGGAGCCCGATAGGGCAGGAAGCTGGTGCCTGTCCTCACATGTCCCACTGCAGGAGCAGTGCCTGGACAGCACAGAGCTCAGTGCCACAGGCAGGGGCAGGGGGAACAGCCCCATTACTCATTTCCTTTGCATCGTGCATCTAAATAATAACACAAAAGCAATAGGTCTGGACCGCGCTGGGGTAATGAGGCAGAGTGGAGATGTGTCAGTGTGCAAACGGCTGATAAAAACAGAGGCCCGAGACACATCAACAGATGCCAATTACCTTGGATGGCAAAAAGAAGAAAGCAATTCTCCCTCATAAAGATTTATAACATGCCTGGCAGAAGGTGCAGGCTGCAGAAGACAAGGGCTGGAGGACACACGCCAGCCCCCACCCTGCATACAGACGAGTGCTGGGTCCCACATCCCCATGGGTAGGAATTGCTGTGCCCAGGGCTGTCCCTGTGCATACAGGGGGTCCTTCCATCCCAGCTCAGGGTGCACTGGAGGCACAGAGCCTGAAAACCCCATCAGGAAGGGCTCAGCATGGGACAGCATCTCCCTCACTGGCAAAGGGCTGCAGGGAAGGCAGCAGCACCCACTGTACTGCCATGGGGTGTCTGGACCACAGCACCCCCGGAGAGGGAAGGCAGGCATGGGGATGCTCAGAACCTGGGCTGAAGGACACTGAGGACTTTGGCCGCGCTGCAGGAGGGATTTGGAGGGTTGTTTTGGCAGGGCTGTCTGGCAGAAGAAGAGCAGACAAGGGAAAGGACAGAGGTCTCTTGGCAAGAAGAAGCTGGGAAGGACACGCTGCATCCAGCAGCTGAGCTGGGGCAGGCAAAAACAACAGTCGTGCCAGTCCTAAAGGATTCCCCTTCCCAATAGAAAGGGTTGTGCAGAAACATCCTTCCAAAAGAAAGATGCTGAGTGATGTCTCTAACAGGAACAGGCTTCCCCACAAGCATCGGGACACCAGCCAAGCCCTCCACCCAAGGATGCTCGGGGGATGCCCCAGGCACCAGCTCTGCAGCCCGTTGCCTGCAGGCATTGATGAAGGCAGACAGGAGGAGAAGGAGGGTGAGCAGCAGGGCTCCAGGCAGCCCTTAGGGCAGGAGAAAGGGGCAGCCTAGGGCTGTGGACAGGGCTCAGCTCAGCCCCTCGGGGCAAATCACCTTCTGCTCTCTCTATTTGCAGTGTTTCCCCACAATGTGCTATTTCAGGCCCAGGAGCTTCCTTTCAACTCCAGCAGGAAACAATTAAGGAATCTGTGCTTTTTTTAGTACAGGAAAAATGCTGGTAATGACACACTTGGGCTGGGGTGGGAGGGAAGGGTTGGGGCAGACTCCCCTTTGCCTGCAGGAGGGATGTGTGATGCTCCCAACGGAGGGGAATGTTCAGGTGTCAGCCTGAAAACCAGCACAGGGCTCCCAAGGTTGGATTTGTTCCTGTGCATCCCTGGAATGAGGCCATGCAAAGCCCCATCCCTCCTTCAGCGCATTGGCACCTCCTGCGCTGGGAAGATGCCGGGTTTGCCCTGGGATGGGAATGCATCTCCATCTCCCTTGGAAAACCACTCGCCTCTGGGTGCGTCCTTCTGCTGCCACCAAGTTTTCCCTCTTCCCAAGGCAGAGTGCTCCCTGCACAGGGAAACACCACAGTCCTGAGCCCAGCAAAGCTGGGGCTGAGCGGGTACCTGCATCCCTGTTACGGATCCAAGGCAGAGGATGACTCCATGCTGCCACTTCCCAGCCGTTCTGAGCCCGCTGGGTGTCGATACTCCCAGTGGCACCAGTTACGGATGCTCACATCCATCCCTGCAGCAGGGACCCATGACCATGGAAGCCTTGGGGACACAGCACTCTCCTGGCCAGGCTGAGCCACCCGTGCTGTGGCTGGGGACAGGGGACACGTGCAGGGGCAGGGCTGTCCCTCCACCCTCCCCAGTCCATCCTCTGCAGCTCCCTGGTGCACAGAGCCCAGCCACGCTCATAGAAAGTACCTGTGCGGCGGCGGCTGCTGCATTTCCCTCCCCTGGCATCGATTACAGCACGATGCTGAGCCCATGCAAATCAATTTGCAGTGATATAAACCTCCGCCAGGTTTGACTCCAAGTGCTCAAGGACACGGGGATGACCCATGGCAGCCCCATTGCAGCATCCCACCGGAGCAGGGCCAGCTCCCTCGCCGTGCTCCGGCTCAACCGTGCTCCACAGGGACCACCGTTCCCGCAGCCGCTATGGGAATGGCTATAAATAGCCCACATAGCAGCTTGCTAGTGGATGCAGCGTGCCCCGGGATCCTTAGGGATGAAAGGCACTACATAAGGGCAGGGTATTAGCATTCGTTCTGAACCATAACGCTGTCAGGGGCATCGCCAAGCCGGGAGCCCCGGCTACGCACCGCAGACACCCTCCCGCACGTACAGCACTGCACACAGCTTGTGCCAGCAGCACCTTTGCTTCTGCTGCTCTTGGCACAGCGCAGGGAAACGCCGAAAGCAGGGCTCACGCTGCAGGCAGGGGCAGGCAGCAGGGGCAGGCACCCAGAGCAGCAAAGGAGCTGCCCCTTGGCCATCCATCCCCACTCCCGTCTCATCTGGGAGGAGGGATTCAGCCACTCACCTCACGCAGCACAGAGGGGCAGAGACACCGGATGGGTCTCCACTACAAACAGCCTCTAGCACCCTCCTCCCAGCTACCGGCACCCAAAAAATCCCCAAATCTCTACCCCCACCTTTCCATCAACCCCCAGCGGCGCAGCGAGGACTGACAGCTCCATCACCACCCGCCCTCTGCATGCCCCCTCTCTTCCCACCACCCAGCTGCCACTGCAGCAAGAAGCTCTGGTTAATCAGTGCTCAAGCCTGTTAATTTGTGTTTGCCAGGCAGCAGGAGAGGAGGGACCCGGGAC